GGAGCGCTGCCGCACTTCCCAAGCGGCGCACTGTAGCAGTGCACCACCGGGCCGGCCCATCCACGAACTTTTTGAAGTACGCTTGCATATATGTGTGTATATATAAAGCATATAGTCTATATGTAGAATATAGAATTCTATATGTATATAGAGTACATACTGGTATGAGACTGAACTTCTCAACTGTTTGAGAATAAGCTGTAGAGATCATGACCCTGTCCCTAAATACTTCAAAGTGTATCTCCTAAAAATAACAGTCTCTTATATAACCAAAGTGCATTTATTAAATTTAAAAAATTAACATCTGATACAATACTCTTATATAGAGTTCATGTTCAAATTTTGCCAGTTATCCTAATATTGTCTTTTATAGCAGTTTTTCCTCCAAGATGTCATGTCTCTGAACACTTCTTCAGCCTTTCATTATCTTTCATTGCCTTCACATTTTTGAAGAGTATAGGCCTGCTGTTTTGTGGACTGTCCTTAAATTTAGGTTTGTCTCAGTGTTTCCTCATGATTCATAAAGTGGTCTGATTGCCCAATTTTCCACTTGTGCATTTTTTGGGATCTGTAGTTGAAAAAAATCTCCTTTTATTAGACATTTAGCAGGCACACTGTTTTTCTTGAGTGAGCCAGCTGTGGTTTTCCAGATGTCCTGCAAATGCCTTACTCTGGGAAATGACTCGCTGAGCCCCAGAAGAGGAAATGTCTGGTTATCAGCAGACCACATAATTGAAAACTATACCCGGGTTCTTAGAGGATGAGCAGGGGAGCTGGGCAGGATCTTTGCCCCATCCAGACCCCAATGAGTGCATTTCAGCCTCCTTCTCTGGGAAGGCTTGGGTGTTGAAAGGTGAAGCTGCCTTGTTTTATCTCCTCCCCACAGTGCCCTCTTCCTCCTGGCCGCTGGAGGGTGCCTTCCGTTCAACGACTCCCAGGTAAGTCCAGGTGAACTCATTCTGCCTTCAAAGTGCCTTTTACTCTCTGAAGCCTGCGTGTATGAGCAGAATTTCCTAGTCCTTCCTTTTAGAATTGGGATACCCCGCCTATACAGAGGCATTCAGAAGCTTTCAGGCTAGGTGACTTTTGGCCCGGGCAACACCTTTTCCCCAGGACTTTGCCTTCTCCCTAAGGCTGTGACAGCATGGCCTGCAGAGCTCTGGCCCCAGGTACAGGTGCATGCAGTCTGCCCTCTATGTGCCTAGTAAATCTGCAAGCCAATGCCTAAATTGCCCCAGCCTTGGGCATTGAGGCAGAGTTGATTTTTCCTCTCCACCTGAGGGCCCCATCTTCTGCAGAGTGATTTTCACTCTGTTATCTGGTGCCGAAGTTGAGTTTTCTTTATGAAGCCCTGAGGACCCACTCCTGCACCCAGTAGTCATCTCATTGCTGGGTTTCTTTTCTTTCTTTTTCCCTCCCTCCTTTTCTCGCTCAGCATAATTAAGTCCCCACCAAGTATCAGGCACTGAGCCAGGCTTTGGGGGCACAAAGACGAAGATTAATCTTTGTCCAGGCAGAAGTCGAAGTCTATTCAGAGCAAAGGGGAAGTAAACAGATGAGTAAAATAGACCATTATCACACAGGGAGGCCAGGGCTCTGCCCCAGGAGGCATGGGGAGCTGTGAAGCACCTAAGGAGACTTGGGGAGGGGAAGTAGGAGCAGCTAACAATTACGGGGAGCCTGCTGTGTGCCAGCCCTGAGCCAGTGCTTAATGTGCCTCATTGTGCTTAAAATCTCACATTTCTGTAAGGATAGGGACAAGTATTATGTCTGTTTCATAGCTAAAGAGTAATGAGGCTCAGAAGTTCCACAGCTAATGAATAAGCAGGGATTTTAAAATTTAACCCCGATCTTTCTGATGCCAGAGCCAGACTTTGCTTATTACACCTAGATGTGGAAGAGCGAGGAGGTGTTAGCCATGAGAAGAAAGCAGGTGAGGCGTTCCACAGCTAATGAATAAGCAGGGATTTTAAAATTTAACCCCGATCTTTCTGATGCCAGATCCAGACTTTGCTTATTACACCTAGATGTGGAAGAGCGAGGAGGTGTTAGCCATGAGAAGAAAGCAGGTGAGGGTAGAGTCCTGGAGGTGTCATGACTATTGTGTGATTCAACTTGATTGAGCACCTACTGTGTGTCTACCCCTGTTCCAATTCCTGCCCTCCTGGAATTTACAATCTAGGGGAGGGTAGGTGGAGATAGAGACAATAAGCAAAGAATAAGTAAAATGGAGGGTGTATCGGATGATACAAAGTTTTACAGAGAATAACAAGGAAGAGAGGAAGAGGAGGGAATCCCCTCAGCTGAGTTGTAGGGGAAGCAGGGAAAATGCAGGTCATCCTTGTTCTCTAGGGAAGGGGATTGTAGATGCGACTGGAGGGGTTGACGGGGGCTTGTCCTGTATAGAGGTCCCTGGGTGTCATGAGTTTGGACTTGAACACAATGCGATGACAGCGTGGGGAATGGGTGCTGGAGGAAGAGCATCCTGTTAGGAAGATGTTGTAGGCAACCGGGTGAGGAACATGGAGGAACTGACTTGAGGACCCAGGAGTCCTGTTTTGTGACCCTCGCCTGGCTCTGTACACTAATGACTAGGGTCTCTGATTGCCACGCTGGATCCTGTTTGTCTGTACTTACAGCCATTTCTTCTTTTTTCAACCCCGTGTTACAGTTTGATCCAGATGGATATTTTTGGGCTGTAATTCACTTATTCTGTTTGGGTAAGTTCTAAAAGAATATTTACTTAAATAATTGACGTTTATTATTTAGACCTTATTGTGTGTCCACTTTTTAGCGACCCTGGACAAAAGGAAAATTAAATCCGAGGTGTCAAGGTTAAAATTAAATGGGCATTTTCTGGGTTGATTTTCTATTTTTGAGCTTTCCTCCAATGTTTCCATTTCCAGTATAGCTCCTTCTTTTTCATGATAAGTATTAAGTAACTCACCATGGCTCAGGTTTTGCTTGTCCAAGTTTACTTGTGGAATGCTGGTTGGTCTTCTCTAAAAATGGTGGGAAGATATCCACAAGTTCGTGTCAAAAATAGTTCCTTTCAGTAGTACAGCAAAAAAAATTTAGGTGGTGAAATAAAAGTACCATTAGATTTTATTTCAAATCATATAAGTTCAGTGTTTCTTGTCTGGAGGCTTAGATGGAAACAACAGTGCCCTGAGTTTGTTAACACAGATCAGAAAAGTTCAGAAATCCACTGGTGATTCCCTTTCTCATGTGAGTCATGTAAAGGAAATAAAAGTTTCGTTAATCATGTCCTTCTGTGGTCATGGAGCTGTCATTGCCCAGCATGCTCTGTGGGTCCCTTGAAGGACTGAACTGCATTATCATGGAGGATTATTGAATTCGCATCCTTGAAACTCTCCAAATTTTGGTCTCCTCCTGTCAGCTATGTGTGATCCTCGTAGGGAAAAGGGGACCAGCAGCTGCACCTTTGGGGGACCTTTTCCATGAGTGTTTTGTGCTTCCCTGGAAGTGTACTGACTTAAGCAGAAGGCTGTGTACAGTGACACATGTGGCTTCATTTTCAGGAGCTTACAGAATACTGCAGAAGTCCCAGAAGCACAGCACGTTAAGGTAAGCTCCTTTGATGAGCTGTCATTTGGTTAGACGTGTTGGAGAGAGTGTTCCCTTCAGCCGCGAGGGCTGCAGACTCAGCCTCAAAGCCATATCTCCTCTGGGTGCTTGGCCCACACAGGCTGAGCCCACCAACGCCTAAAACTAGTCACCCTTGGTGACGTGTGAAGAGGCATGGAGTCTCATCCGCTTTCTTCAAGGACAGCCATTTAGATGGCTTTGTAATGAAATGTGTGTGACCAGCTGCTCTGGGCCCCAACTGACTACATCCGGCTGAGAGAGACAAGTCTTTTTTTTCTTGTTTCCCCAGCCCCTTCCTGACTTGACTCAGTTTAGATCCAGAAGTCTTCCCAGTTACCAGCTCTGTTCTTGGGTAAAATGAGGCCTTTGTTGCAGGCAGTCAATGAATGAAACAGCCTTGGTGAATGTAAATGAAAAAAGATGAGGATTCAGGCCTCAATTGAGCTATGTAGCTAGCTGGCCAGCTGGCTTCTGGGTTTGGGGGCCTAAAGAAAAGGGCTGAAGGGAATGACTCCTGAAAATAGGTCTTACCCTCTGAGAATGTGTGGCTTTCACTCCCTAGGGCACCTTTTGTTCTTTCAATAAAGTGTTTTTGCAGCAAGAAGCCAGGAGAGTTGCCAGATAAAATACAGGATGCCCAGTTAAATTTGAATTTCAGATAAGCAGCAAATACTTTTTTTTGTTTGTTTAAGTATGTACTATGCAATATTTGGAGCATACTTACATTGAAACGTTACTAGTAGTAACATATATACACATAGAATTTATTAATAAAAGATAAATGCTATTTCACGTATTTAAAATACTTTTATTTCTGTTTTATCTTTTTTTCTGCATAGAATTTATTAGTAAGAGATAATGACTATTTTAAGTATTTAGAATACTTCTATTATTTCATGTTTTATCTTTTTTCTCTAACATATATATACATAGAATTTTTTAATAAAACAAAATGACTATTTTATTTATTTAAAACCCTTTTTTTTTTTCTTTTTTTTCTCTCTCTCATTCCTTAGTGACATTGACCAGCAGTACTTAAACTATATATCCAGGTAAGGATAATTTACATTTTTAAAGAATGCATATCCTTCTAGAGCTAATGGATTTTTGTTTTCCAAATATTTTGATTAGAGGGTTCTGAGCCAATGTGCCTGCCAGGAATGCTGGTAAAATAACTTGTGAGGTGACTAGAACTGAGGAAACGAAATAGTAGTCCTGCCCTTAGACTAGACAAGAGGGGCCTTTGTCTGAACTTGGGAGGGCCACACCCCTCCCCATGGGGAGTGGTGTCTGTGAGGCTAAGGGACATATCATCTGGAGCCCACACCCTCACTGCTAGACTGCCCTGGAATCCCTTACCTGGGTGGCCCTGAGCTCAGTTCCAGGGCTTCCCTGGATCTGTCTTCCCAACTTATTCCTAGGCCCAAGGGGTGTCCCAAGGGAGGCTTGTAGTGGGGGTGGGGGGGTGGAGATGAAGGGTGGCCTTGCAGGCCGAGCTGTCCACACACATGTGTGAGGCCCTCAGGTGCAGGAGGAGCCTGAGGTGGAAAGAGAAGAGTTGGCAGTTTGGAGCCAGAGGCTGCCTATGCTGCCACATTCTGACTTGAAGCTTCAGGGAGTCCAGGAATGCAGCATTTTAATCTGGACTTCACATTGCTTCAACGGTATATTTGTTAAGGTAGAATCAAGTTTGAGGCTTGATTAATAACTTTAAATAGGGTATATGGATTTCTTGCCATAGCCATTCCAAACCAAGCAGGGGTCAGCCTGCTAAATAGAATAGCTGGGATTGTTCTTAGATTTTAGCAGTCTCAGACAGGGCACTGCAGGGGCCTGACTGAGAAACAGTAAGATTTGCTCCTGAGAACCCAAGGTTGCCTCATGCAGCTACTTCCAGTGAAGAGGACCGAGGTTGGAGATGCACCTCAGCATTTGGTCATGCTGATTTCTGGAGGAAGTCACTCAGCTTAAATTGCTCAACATGAGCTGTACATTCCCTTTGCAGATAAAGCTTATAAATATCGGTATTTATTCAGATGCCTTTTTGCAAGCAAGATACACCCCAAGCATGGCTGCGGGCCTCTTCTGTACTCAGCTGAAAACACCCATTAGCTCCTCTGTGCTCTGACCCACCAGCTGTCTTCCAAGAGACTTTTCTGAAAACAGAGGGCTCCTAGTGTTTACAGTGTTTCTACCCATTAGCTCCTCTGTGCTCTGACCCACCAGCTGTCTTCCAAGAGACTTTTCTGAAAACACAGAGGGCTCCTGGTGTTTACAGTGTTTCCATGACATTGGGCCACTTTAGGCAGTTCTTTTTCTCCAAGCAGCCAAGGGATAAGGGATATGGAAAGACGGTCCTCCTGTCTTCTCCCGCTCCCCCCAGCTCCCTCACCTCTGCGAGGGCATTTATTGCCGGGAGCATGTGGCTGAGGCTGTGGCACGCCCACCAAAGCCCCGACTCTGTTTCCAAGTCTTTTTTTCAGTACAAGTGATTAAGATGTGCAGATCAGAACGAGGGCCACTGTTCGATTTCCTACTGCTGCTGGACACTGAGGGCTTGGCCTCCGGAAGCCTGCAGTCCGCTCCGATGTATGGGCTGTCCTTGTGTGCTGGCCCAGAGGGCTGTCTGCCAGGGCAAAGTATTGTTCTGAGCTCTCAGTTTGAGAGAGGCAAGTAGTGGGTGGTCTCTACCTTTGGCACACACCACTATTTTCTTGAGGATCTATTTGCTCCCTGGCCCTGACTTTTTGGTGTTTCTAATTTAGATAGAGGGATAAGTCACAAGATAGGGTGAAAGGGTGAAGGAGAAAATAAAGGGAAGGTCATATGTGGGGCTGAAGATAAGTGCAACTTCTAAAAATGGGTATGGCTTTGATCTGCCTTTTGGGGAATCTTGGTAATGTATCAGGAATAAATATTATGGGATGTACTCGTAGCACCATTTCTTTTTAAGATGAGGCAGACTTTAGTCTCCCCCAGTCTATTAAATAGAAAATTGCCATAATGTTACTCATTCACACTCCACCTCCTTATTTTGTAGATGAGATTGTGTCTGTGTCAAAGGGAAATAGGTGTTCTCTCTAGGGTATGACTTAGTGACACAGAAAAAAGTGTGTTGGAGTTTAACATGTGGAGATTATATTTTCCCATTTTATTTCCTAGGAGCATAGGGATGTTTTCTATTTTGTTCACTGCTGTATTTCCAGATATTAGAACAGTATCTGACATATATTAGGCACTCAATAAATATTTACTGAATGAATGAATTTAAAAAGCCTGCTGCTTATCTGGCATGATATGACTTTTATATTAGTATAATTTTCTTATTAAAATTCACATGTAATTTATATTCTTAGAACTATAGGTTGCTTCAAGCTATATTTCTCTTCAAACATATTTTCACCACAAATACACCTGGAGGTGATTAAGTGCATTCAGAAAACATATTGAGCACCTGCTGTATGTATGACACTGCTAGACACTTGGGATCCAGAGATGAATAAAATATGGTCTTGCTCCCAAAGAGGCCACACGAGGAATTAGGAGTGGTTTAACACTACTTGCAATATTCAAACAGGGACTGGAGAATCAACTCTTTCATTTAATTGTTTCTTCTTATTTCTACCCTCTAATATTTTATTTTAGGATTACCTTTTGGGGTGATTCTGATGATGGGATTTGGGGTACTATGGCAGGCCCTCAGAGATATTTTGGGATGGGAAGAGGTCTGTCATGTCCTGCCATAGGACCAGTAAGTTTTGCTCCTGAAGTTATAACCAAAAGGGGAACCAGGGAGATATAATAATGGAGTACGCACAGGGTATGTGTCTTCCAAAGGAAGACAAGTTTCAAGCAAAGACATCGTCTGTGCAGAGGACCAGTCATCGCAGTGTCTCCAGTCTTGTTTATAGTGTGTGTGTTTTTTACAGCTACCTGTAAACACTATCTTAAAAACCACAATATGTGGCTCTTCTCCATTGCCTTTCTCCTGAACCCCCTCTCTTCCTGCCTCTGCCCACGCTGCTGCTGCTCTGGGGACCATCAGAGAACTTGTGCTTTAGAGGTGGAGCAAAGGAAAAGCCTGAGAAAACCAGAAATGAAGCAGAGAGATAAGCCCAGCAGTAGGGCAGAGCCCGCGGGCTGACAGTGGTTTCCCTCCCTCAGCCATCTCCCTACACACTGCCTACAGTGTCACCACCAACTAGAGATGCCTTGCGATGGTTCCCAGTCCCATGCACCTTACAGCCACTGAGGCTGTAACAGAAAAACAACTGCTGCCTGGACCTTTGGGGAAAGGTTCTTATTTAAGCCAGGATGCTGAGCTGTTCTGATGTGCAGCTGGGGTTGAGAACCAAAGTAGGCCATCCAGCCCTTTTTAAAAAATAATTCTCTTCTGTACTTAGATAAGTTTATTCTTAACCTCTAACTAGATCAGCTGCCTGGATGGCATCGAGTTTTGATGGAAGAGTGTGCAGAAGGTGGGGGATCTGGGTACTGTGAAGATACAGTAGAGGGGTGGGAGATGGGAGAGCTTCCTAGAGGGGAAGGTGGGAGGGTGCCAGGGTGCACATGGCTCGCATCAAAGGGACACCCCTTCACGTTCTCCTTTTCCTCCCTCCTCCCCTCTGGCATCTGTTGAAAATCAGTGCAGGCAGTGTTCAGCCACTTGGTGGATGGGATGGGTCATTTTGTGCACTTACCTTTTTAGAAATTTACCTCCTACACAGTTAATTTTGTGGCACAAAAATATTTAGCTCACACCTACAGCTAGCTTTTAGATTGCAACCTATTTGTAATTTGGAGTTTGCATTATTTAACTTACAGATACTCTTGGTAAATAGGTGAGTATGATAATAATTAGGATCAACTGGGTTCAAGAAAGTGACACCGCTGACCGCCAGGTAGGACATAGATTCTGTCTGTCCCAAGGATGGATTCAATCCTCTTGCCAAAACAGGAGGCATTTCAAGAGATTCTCACTCTCTCTGAGGGGTTAGATTCAGGCAGAATGAGACCAGTCAGTGCTTTTAGGCAAATCAACTATTTCTAAGTACAATGGGTAGAAATTTATATTATTGTTTTTTCACTCCTGGCGAAGTTTTCTTGACTACTTTGCTGTATCTTTTGCAGTGTGGTGCTCCTGGCATTTGCATCTCATCCCACAGGTAAATGCCATTTGAATGTTATTTTGTTTGTTTTAGATTGCCCATTCAACTCAGTGGGCATGTCTCTGAGAGATATTTTTTAAAAGAATATGGTCGCTTTCAGAGTGTCAAACTGGGAGGTTACAAATGGCTCACTTATTTGAAACTGCTCTTAATAACCCATGATGTAATATTGCACGGGAATTTATTCTTTTTCTCTCTTGAATTTGGTTGTCTTTGTTTTCATTTGGTGCGATCTCAGATGTACAGACAGGTTTATTACCTGCTGAGTAAACCAGAGCTTGTTTTTCCCTCTTCCAAAATTCCTTCTCCAAGCATCCACAATTGCTCATCAATTTTAGTGCTAAAGGATTTGGTGAAAAAGTTCAAATTTAGCTAGAAGCTGACCTCATTTCATAAAATTTTAACATGTGTCACCATCCATTTTTTGGAATTCCAGATTATAGACAACAAATTTTGAAACTCACCTTCATCCCATTGCTGTCTCAGTTACTCTATAGTTGGTTTTCAGATTTAGGAATTGCCTACAATACTCTATTCCATTGTGGCTTTTTACTCTGAAAGGCTTTGAAGTTGATGCCAGAGATAAAACAATAACGTGTGTATGTGTGGCGTGGTTGGAAACACACATGTTCCTCGTGGCATGGTAGAGTGCGGTGGAAAGAGCAGAAGGGTTGGAACCTCTCTTGCCTCCTCCACTGAGTGGCCATAGACCTGTTTTCTTTTTTTAACTAATGTTTATTCACTACTCGCTGTGCATAAGGCATTGCCCAGGCTCTCAGGGTCTCAGTTTTCTCATCTGGAGAATGAGAAAGGCGGACTGGATTATTTCTAAAGCACCTTCTAGCTCTCATCTTGTGCCCAAAACAATGGCTGCTTTATGCTGGTGTTTTTAGCTGCTTCAGACTTTTTGAACAAGTATCCTCAGAGAACTGTCAATTGTGACTCAGGAGTAATGTTTCTAGGTTGTATGTGACATATTTGAACCCACATCTCATAAGGATAATTTGAGTTAATTTTTTCTTAATTCATTACTCTCCACTTGCCCACACTGAAGCCACCTGCTTTTGTCTGCCTGGTGACATCTCAAGACTCAAGTTTGCTGTTCAGTGCCCTCTCCACTGACATTTGTTGAAAACCCATCCTCGTGAAAGGATAAATCCTATGAAGCCATGCCGTTAACCCTAAACAGTTTCTGCTTACCCGCTCTGCCGATTGTCTGCCTTCCAGTCATGTCTCTTGTCATTCCTTCATGTAGACAGGTGGTTGTCCCCTCACAGATATTTAAGAGCCTGCTAAGTGTCCTCCCTCTTTGAAATGTGCTTTTTTCAAAGGTCTTTGGAAAGTTACGTTCGCTGTTTCTTGATTTACATGTTCATTTACTTCCTGAATTATTTCTATTGGACTTTGGCAAATAACTTTTACTTCAAGAAATCATTTTGCCCTTCAACCAAGAGGTGATGCTTGTTCATTGGTTACGCTCATGATTATCAGAGTGGGAAAGAATCTTAGTGATTATTCCAGGTGCTACCAAATTTTACAAGTGAGGAAATTGAAGCCCAGAGGAGTTAAGTGACGTGACCTAGATGATACAGAGTGGGTGAGTAGAAGAGGGAGACTGGAGTTTAGGTCTCATGACCCTCTTTCCAGGTTTTTTCCCCCTAAAAATGCTGCTTTTTCAGTGATCTTGTACTTTATTATAAAGTATCCCAAGCAAGTGAATACTTTTGTATGGAAATTTCTACATTTCTTTCTGGAGCTTCTCTTGGTTTCGGGGCATTTTATCTACCAGTTTCCAAGTTGGTGTCTGCTGGTAATAGTGGCCAGTGGTCTGACATTTTACCTTGAGCTGTTGCTAAACTTTTAAGTCCGTACAAGAATACCTTGGGAATGCTGCTTTTTCAGTGATCTTGTACTTTATTATAAAGTATCCCAAGCAAGTGAATACTTTTCTATGGAAATTTCTACATTTCTTTCTGGAGCTTCTCTTGGTTTCGGGGCATTTTATCTACCAGTTTCCAAGTTGGTGTCCGCTGGTAATAGTGGCCAGTGGTCTGACATTTTACCTTGAGCTATTGCTAAACTTTTAAGTCAGTACAAGAATACCTTGGGCTCTTAGTTACTCTCTGGGAACACAAAGTGGTCAGCAGCCTAAGACTGTAGACTGGCCTGGGCAGAAGAGTAATTTAAAGTAGGCTTCCATTTCTTTTTGAGGTGTTAAAAATGTTCTGGAATTAGATAGTGGTGATGGTTGCACATCTCTGTGAATATACTAAAAACCACGGAAGTGTATACTTTAAAAGGGTTAATTATAGGTCCACAAGAAAATGTGTGCGTTGGGGGGAAGAAATCTCTCTGATTTGAGAACCTATTTGGAGCTTAGTTATGCCACAAGAGGATACTTGCAAGGATTACTTTTCTTTCACATTATATTTTAAAATTAAAAAAAAGAAGAATGGACACCAGGTGCCCACCTCCCATTCTTTCTCCTGCTGGCTTCAGTCCTAGCACATGGTAAATGATCCAGGATTGGCCTGCAGTGGGCAGCTCAGGGCGAATACCTTGGGATCTTAGTTACTCTCTGGGAACACAAAGTGGTCAGCAGCCTAAGACTGTAGACTGGCCTGGGCAGAAGAGTAATTTAAAGTAGGCTTCCATTTCTTTTTGAGGTGTTAAAAATGTTCTGGAATTAGATAGTGGTGATGGTTGCACATCTCTGTGAATATACTAAAAACCACGGAAGTGTATACTTTAAAAGGGTTAATTATAGGTCAACAAGAAAATGTGTGCGTTGGGGGGAAGAAATCTCTCTGATTTGAGAACCTATTTGGAGCTTAGTTATGCCACAAGAGGATACTTACAAGGATTACTTTTCTTTCACATTATATTTTAAAATTAAAAAAAAGAAGAATGGACACCAGGTGCCCGCCTCCCATTCTTTCTCCTGCTGGCTTCAGTCCTAGCACATGGTAAATGATCCAGGATTGGCCTGCAGTGGGCAGCTCAGGGCGTTGCATAGCCTGTGGGATTCGTCAGAGAGCGCCTTGGCACATGCTCTTGAAGGAATCCTGTCTGCGGCTTTGGTTTGTTGCAGTTTCCTGCTAGCTGAGGTGGTGTCACTGAAGAGGCCAGGAATAGAAAGTTGGGCTTCTGAGGATTTTGCTGGGCCAGTGATACTGGCTGTGCCTCTCATGTAAATAGCAGAGGTGGTTGTGGCCTCCCTTGCTATAAGTAGCTGAGGCTCCCCAGCCAAGAGATGTAGGGTTCAGGAGTCCTGCAGACCTCGGTAGCCCTCATAGCAGGGCTCCTGCAAAAGCGCTGGGGAAGGTATAGGGTTATGTACAGACTGGTTGCAGCCTTCCAAAAGAAGCCAGACACTTCCATGTACCAAGTTCAGTATCTAACCCATGAGCATCCCAGGGAAACACTGTAAAATCACACCTACTTCTACATGTATTAAGTGATGTGAAAGCATGTTCTTTTTATAAAGGTGTTCTATGTGTGATCCCCATGGTCATGTTTGTTACTTTCTTAGAACTTTTACAAACTGTTTCAAAGTTTGTGTGTCTGCTTCTCCTTTCACCTCTTGTCAGTGGAGCGCCGCTGACTTAAAGCCTTGGTAGATGTGGAGTTTGTCCGTGGTACCTGCTTGGATGAGGGCTACTGAGTAGCAAAACAATCTTGACTAGAGTAGTGAAGCTGCTTATGAAATCCAAATGAGAAGAGACTGTCCAGGTTTTGATCAGATTTAACTTTTACAAGCTCTCAGGGCCACTGCAAACAGTTGTGGTCTATGTAGACAGTGGCCTGTCCTTTGAAGTTGTGTAGCGCGCAACTTGTGCAACTGTAAGCATTGCCCACTGCTTCAAAAAGCACTCGAGAATAGTAAAGTGCTTCATTAGTTTGTTAGAGTGAATAAGTACTATCTAAGGCAGGTCCATATTAAGGTAATAATTTGGTGTGAGAGATGATGGAAGCTCAGAATCTAGAAGACCCTTGGTAGGTCAGTTGCCCTACACTCACTGATGGTTCCTGATGATGTTTTCTCATAGTAGTATACAGTTGACTACAAAGTTTCAGCAAATAAAACAGCTAAGAAAGATTTCTCTTCTCCATAACTATTCAAGGTCTACTCTTATTGAGTGGCTCCAATTCTTGCCAATTTGTTAGCTTTCCGATTGGACCCATGTGTAGTCTAGCCCATTTTTAAGATAGAACACTACTCTTTCCCACTTGCTTATTACACTCTCCATCTAGAAAGTCCTCTGTGGGGCCCGAGTGTGGGTTGGGGAGAGCTGTCTTCCTGATTCCCCACCTGCCCTAGTTAAGACACAGTGAGAGTCAAGGTCTATAGGTACAGTCTTTTTTTGAAGAATCTGTTAATACTTTCTGAAATTTTAAAGTGGGGCTTCATTTTTTTGGTTGTTCTTACCCCTTCTTTTGTTATTTATGTCTTCATTATTTGGTAGCGCTTTAAAAACATTTTAAAATTGAGATATAATTTACATACATGAAATACACATATCTTAAATGTACAGCTCGATCTACTTTAGCAAATGTACACACCTGTGTAATTCACACCCCTATCAAGATAGAGAACATTTCTGTCCCTACAGAAAGTTTCTTGAAGCCCCTTCCAAGCCACTCCTCGCCCACCACCGGGGCCACTACTGATCTGATTTCTATTATCATGGATAAGTTCGGTCTGTTCTAGAGCCTCATATAAGTGGAATAATCAGTTAAGTATTTTTTGGGTCTAGCTCTTACATTCAGAGTAGTGTTTAGAGATTCATCCATGTTGTGTATATCACCAGTTTGTTCCTTGCTGTTGCCGAGTAGCGTTTCATTGTGTAAACATACCACGTTTTATCTGTTCACCTGTTGATGCCCCCCTGGGCTGCTCCCAGTTTGTGACTATTTTGAGTATCCAAAAAGCTACTAAGAACATTCTCATAGAAGACTTTTTTTGTGCTTATGTTTGCATGTCTGCCAGATGAATCCCTAGGGGTAGGATTACTGGGTCTTAGAGTACATTTGACTTCCTAAGGAAGTGCCAGTTTTCCAAAGTGTGTGTGCCATGCATTCCCACCCAGCAGTGTTTGAGAGTTCTACTTGCTGCACATCCGTACTGACGTGGGTGTTGTCAGTCTTGTCTTAGCTGTTCTGGCAGGGGTGTAACT